CACTACTCAGTCAGAGTATTAAAAAACAAAACAAAAACTGAAAGAACCCTGCCTTTACCCACCACCTTTATAGTGTTAAGATTACAATTCATGAAGGCAGTATGTATTAGATATTTTACCACAATTGTAAGAGTGACTAGTCTCCTGGGAAGTATAAAGTATACCTCAACCATCCTCAAGTGACTATTGAATAAATTAAACCTTTCCCAACCCAAATACTGACATGACTGAAACCTGTCAGTGGCTGATCTTCAGGTTCCATGTTAGTGTACCTTAGGCAAGTGATTTAACCTCCTGGAGCTTAAGTTTCTTGTCTACACAATACAAACAACACTGCTCAAGGAGAAGTGAAAAGGTGAGGAGCTGATACAGTGTTCAGCACAGGCTTGCACATGGTTCTTACTAAACACTAGCTATTTCCTGACAATCCCCGGCCTTTTTTTTTTTTTTTTTAAGTAACAAGGAAATAGTCTAGAAATTCAAACATTCAGGGGGAAATCTATATAAAGACAAAAAGATTTCACTAATCGAATCAAGTTCATAAGGCTAGGATTATTTTTACAATATTACTGTAAACAAGAATTAAGTTGAATTAATTTTACTAACAGAAAGAACAACATTCTCTGAAAGGGGGCTCAAAGAACCCCATGGGCTCTAATACAGAACTTAGTTCAAGCAGTACTCCACCACCTAACTAACTGGTATTAAAGGTAATGTTCTCTTTTCCCACTTGTAAAGAGCAAAAAGAACTGTCACAAGTTAAATATGATAGAACAAGTTAAAATCCTAGCCACTGGATTCACCACCAACCTTTCCCTTCTAAAAAATAAAAATTCTAAGCTGTGCTTAACAATCAACCTGAAAAGGTCATTACACAATACATCATAAAGTCAGTACAGGAAACATGAGGCTGGCAGGCAGTAAAGATTAACATTAAAGAAGAGTCTTAAGAACCTGTCTTCTCAATAGCAGGGTATCTGCTACCTCATACAACATACGCAAGCAATCAAGAATAAGAATTTTAAAGAATCTTTGTTATCAAGAGAATACAAATGTTTCTGCCTTGTATACTACTAACACATTGTGAACAGAATACAAGCAAAAAAGATGAACTCTTAGGTATGCTTTCACTCATCCATGGCTTCTCCTGTTCCCAAACTCATCTTTACTAACTTCTCGGATTTGGCCACAGGATGAATTAGAAAGACCCTACTTTTACCAATGCCAACAAAAATGTTTGTGCTTACAGTAAGACTGCTTTAAAAAAAAAACATATAGGAAAAGTTGAGAAATTCTGTAATTTATTTAAATATATCCAAGACTTGTACAATAAGACTGCATATTAACCTGTTATTTAATCAATGGATATAACCTGATAAAGCAATTTCTCAGTGGGGGAAAAAAATACATGAAAAGAAAAAAGAAAGTTCATAGTGCAATGTTGGAGAAATTAGTGAAAATATGCAAAAGCTCACTTAGGAGAACTTTATTTATCCAGGCAGTACATCCTTTCAGTGCTTTAAAATTTGCTTTTCTCATCACTCTCCCTCCGTCTATCTAACTAGGGTTTGAAACATGGCCTTGTACATGCTGAGGCATTCTACCCTAAGCTACACTCCCAAACCCTACATTTTGTTTTGAAGCAACCAGCTTTCTGAGCAGGAATTTATTCTACAATACATTGCCAATACAGACCAAAAAGGTATGTTGACATGATATGGCTATGAAGGAAGTAGTTACTTCTTAATTAAAGAATTAATTAAATACCTAAAGAGGTATTTGAAAAGTACTTCATGAATATTTGACGATGAATTATGCTGGTGGATTCCTAATTTAAAGTTCTGTGATTAAACTTCATGTGTCCTAACTCTTACAGCTTCTAAACCACCATCAAAGTTTAACAGACTACCGCTTTTCGCCTGAATTCTTTAATGAAATGGGATGGGCAACCTGTGTCTCTCTTACTCTACAAGAGTAATGACAGAGACCTAAGAGGTGAGGGTAATATCGAAAGCATGGGGGATGGGAGGAACACAAACTAAATGTGTACCTTTTGCATTTGTGGAAGTTATTAAGATTTTTGTAAAAGTCCCTGTTAGTCATTCTTGGACATACTAATTATCCTGCACTGAGAAAGGACTTTCCTAATAAAACTCAAGGTATGACTTTCTAAACTGCTAATATTTAATACTCAACTTGGGGGGTGGGAGTAGAGGGATATCACACAGAAATCCTTTTGAGAAGCAAAATAAATAAAACTCTAAATTGGGAAATTCAGGGTGTGATGAAAGGTAAAAATACTGAATAGAGACGACCTTAATCAGTTTTATCCTTATCATAAACGAATGTTCAGCTAACTTCTCCTTGTAAAGTGAGATCAATGTAGCAATGTAATGATTTAGTAATTGTGATATTAGACAGAAATTGCCTACATAGAAGCTGTACCACTCTTCCTGGTTACTCAGAGTGCTCTTAATTCAAGGTTACCCTTTCAGAGGAAAAAAAAAAGTCACTTAGGAGCGGGTTAAGTTCAATGACCCACCCAATACTACTCATTCAAAACTAACCAAAACTGCATTTCAAAAGAGGGAAATAAACACATAAATAATAAAGTTGTCCAGCATTATTTATAACGTGATCACTGACTACATGATTTCTAAAGCATGGAGTATTACTTATTACTTAGCAGTACCTGTAACTTCAATACAAGACACTTGAAAAGTCCTATTCACTGTGGCCGATTCTAATTTTAAAAATGTCCCTGACAGCCAGGCGGTGGTGGTGCACGCCTTTAATCCCAGCACTCGGGGGACAGAGGCAGGCGGACCTCTGTGAGTTCCAGGCCGGGCTGGACCGACAGCCTCCAAAACAATACAGAGAAACCCTGTCTCGTAAAAACCAAATATATATATATATATATATATATATATATATATATATATATATATCCCTGACATCCACCTATTCACTAACTAAACTTTGAGAGGATAAACTTAAATATGCATATATAAAGTCTTCAGGGGAAGATACTGGATTGGAAGAAACCCTAACTTTAATAGTTTGTCAACTAAGAAAACACACAGAAATTCCAAGGCTAAGCTGGTGTTTTCCAAGAAAAAAAAAATACTAAGACACCCGTTGTTTCCGGCTGTGTGGACAGCATGTTAGAAATCAAGGCAGGAGACTTAAGACTGGAGATTTACACAGGCTAACTAGTGTGGGGGAAAGGCATCTTTTAAATTACTGTGATATAGTGAATAGGATGAACAGGGCTGGCAACTGTCCTCAAAACCACTGATGTGTCTGAGGATTAGAGATCAGCAGAGGCGTCTTCCTCCACAATATTTCAACCTGGAACATCAAAACTAAAGTCTTCTAAGTCACTACACACAGCAAGTTCTAACTCCCTAAAAGGCCATTAATACAAAAACCACTACCTTAAGGTCATTTTAGTCAACCACACGGCTATCAAAAACAATTACTTTAAATCAAACACATTCCTTTATACCTCGATGCCTCCTTTCGGTTTAGTTTCCAGGGTGCGTCCCTTCTCTTCCCTCACGGCCTCCCTCCGTGGGCACAAGAACATTTTTTTTTTCAATTCAAACACACTGATACCTAGCACTCATCAAGGCACTCTTTTTGCAACCTGCTTAATTTTGAAAGTTCTAAGACGTGTTAACGTTGGAGACGAAAAACTACCTTATAAGGCTATAAAAGACGGAAAGCAGGAAGCGGCTTTGACAAAACTAAGGAAGTTGCAGCGCGCTTGCTCACTAAGGGACTTTTTTTTTTTTTTGAGGCAAGAGCAATAACCCCATGAGATCCTCCTCGCTGGAGCTGGAATGTGCCTTGGTTCACCGGGTGGTGGGAGACGGCTGAGACGGGGTGTGGGGTAGAATACAGGCGGCGCGCGGCTCCTCTGCAAAAGTCCCCATTCTAGCTTTCCATTTTCCCAGCCTGGTTCTTGCCTCTCCCCACCCACACGCCCTACAGACTGAGGGTTGTCACAACGATCTTGCAAGACCTGCAAGGGGCGCTTCTCTTTTTCTCCCCTTGGTCCCACGTCAGACGCCCCCTCCCCTCGCCTCCCCTGTGAGTCCCCAAGATCGCCGGCAGGAAGGGGAGGGAAGGGGAAAAGCACACCAGGTGGGCCGGGCGGCCTTCTCAGGAGCGAAGGGCCTGGAAAGACCTTCGTCCCAGGAGGCTGAGGCGACCCGACCAGGGAGGCTCCCGGCACCACCCCTCGCCGGTCTGGCAGGCTCACCCCATTCATCTCCTCCCTTCCTCCTGCTGTCCCCAGCCTCAGTTTCCCCCCCACCCAGAAGACCCGCCGTACCCCGTGCCACAGTCCACCACACAGGCCGGCAGCCGTCCCGCCATCTTCCTCCTCGCCCGCCGCCGCCGCCGTCCGTTCCGTGCTGCTAGAGGCCGGGGATGGAGATGGGAGCTAGCTGACCATGCACCGGCCTGGGCCGCCCTCGGTCCTGAGGGAGGAAGGGAGGGAGCTGTGGGGAGCTCGAGCAGCAGCGAGTGAGCAGCAGGCTAGTACTTCCGCAAGCCCGGCAGGCTGGCCGGCCGGCAGGCTGTCCCCGCCCTGCCCCGCCGCGGCCTCCTCCTCCACCCCTCGGCTCCGTCGGCCCTCCTCCTCCTCCTCCTCCTCCTCCTCACTCCCGCCCCCACCCTACAACTTCTTCCCCTCACACTGCCTTTCCGCGGGTAGCCAAGATGGCCGCCGCTGCCGACGCCCCGGCCAGGCCAGGCCCCAGGCCGCGATCGCTCCCACTTCCGGTTCCGGGTGGGAGGGGCGAGCGCGCGTGCGCCGTGGCGTGCGGCCGCACCGGCCTCGGCTTCTTTCCGGACGTCCGAAAGCTCCACTTCGGGTTTTCAGATGGCTAGCAGTCCAGAGCCCAAGTTGAGCTCCTCAAGTATTTGTGTTTTTTTTTTTTTTTTTTTTTTTTCTGAAGCGGTGGCACATGCGCGGTGGCGTGCAGCCGCCGTATTCCGCGACTCCGGTTCTGACTTGCGAAAACTCCACTTCGCATTTTCCGTCCGGTGAAAGCCCAGAAGTCAGGCTGAGTTTTCGAGTTCTGAAGCCGCCTTTTGGTGGTGGTGGGTGTGTGGGTGTGTGCCTTCTCTGCTGGCTTGGAGGCTGAGCAGACGCTCTTCTCTGCTGCGGGGGAGAGGGGCTAATTGGAAACGTGGGCAGCCGCACGCCCCCTTTATCGCTGTGACACATCTTGATGAGCAGTCAGGAAAGGGATGAACAAAGGTTTGTGTCCTGAGATTGATGGCACTTACACTATTACTTTGTGGGTTACAAGCGCCCCAAGATCGTGGGCCTGTGTTTTTTAAGAAAGGCAAGCGTCCAAGAGATTAGGTTAGCTTCTATTTAATATACTCTGCACAGGTTCACCTAAAAAAGAATTCCCCAGGGATTTGAGTGTCTTCAAGGGAGGCAAGCACTGGACCAGTGAGATGGCCCTTGCCACTGACCAGATTATGATCCCTGGGGACCCACAGGGACAAATGAAAAGATCCCTGCTTGTTGTTCTTTGATTTTGCAAGTCCTCCCCCACCCCCCCCCCCCGCCCATAAGTAAATGTAAAACAATAAAAATTAAAAAGCAAGCTTCCCAGAGGTTATGTTCTATATAGCATGCACAAGTGGCCCTTATTTGGGTTTTGGGCTGATGATAGACTTCCTACAAGAGTAGTAAGATTCTCTTGGGCCTTTTGAGAAAGGCCAGCGTCCCAGAGGTTGTGTTCTACATAATAAATTGTGCAAGTTGCCTGTATTTGGGTTGGGGTATTGATGGACTTCCTTCTGTAGTACTGTTAGCATCACAGCTTTTTGTGACAGAAAGAAAAAGGCTAAAGATATGTGTGTTTAATGTTATGGACCTAAAAAGCAATGTTTGTAAAACGAGAATGCATCAGAGTGACATAGAAAACTTAAAGTACGCTGCTGGGTCACATCTCCAGGGGATTCTGCAAAGACTGTGCAACAGAGCCTGAGCGTTTACTTTCTCATAAGCAGGAACCTGGAAAGTTAATAGCTTTCCTTCCCAACAGGCTTTTATTTATTCTTTCAACAATCCCATATATGCGAACAATGTATCTTTTTGTTTCTTTTATTTGTTTAATTTTTGTATCATGATTACTTTATTGATTCTTTGGGAATTTCACTTCAGGCACCCCAGTTCCTCTCATTTCCCAGTCCCTCCATACCTACCCTTCGCTCTTGCAGCATCCCCCCACAAAAGAAATTTTTAAAAAAAATTAAAACCAAATCCAACCAACCAAACAACAAAAAATAAAACTCACTTAGATCCTCCACCTTTCTCCAAGACCTCTCCATTCATCTTAGTGGCATTGGGAGCCTTGGTGTGTCACACAGTATACCCTTTTGTCTTATCAGCTTGGCTTGCAAATGATCATTGAAGCGAGTCAATAAACAATGTATCTTGATCAAATTTACCCTGAACCCTCTCTCCAGTTCCCTACCTGGGTACCCTAACATTATCCCCTCCTCCCTTCATGGCCTCTCTCCTTTTTTTTTTTCTTTTTTCTTTTTCATTTATTTTTTGTAACCCACTGGCCCTAACCAGTTCAGCCTGGTGGAAGGCTGGCTGATCTTGGCTTGATCTTCATGTACCCGTAACTGCTGTGTCGGGACTGCAAAGTCAATGTCATGTCCAAAAGACAGCACAGTGTCTCACTAAACTCCCCTCTGTCTTCTGGCTCTTGCATCCTTTCTGGCTCCTCTTCCAAGATACTTCCTGAGCTTTGTGGAGGGATGAGAGTTGGTATAGGTAGATGTACCATTTAAGGTAGGCACTTATTGTCAGCACTTTGACCAGACAGGAGTGTCTACTTTAACTGCTGACCACTGGAGAGAGAAACTTCTCTCCCTAAGCTTGAGGGCAGCACTAATCTATGTGTAGAAATACCAATATTTGGAAGGTATTACAACAGTTCCAATTAGCAAGACAACAGTAGTAGATTTCCTGCTAGGGCCTGTGACTTCCTGAGCCACAGGTTTACCATACCAGGCATAAATTCCCGTCTGCAGAGCAGGCCTCAAATCTGGTCAAAAGTGATTGACTGTGCCTATAACCTCTGAGCCATTACTGCACCGGTGGGCATATTTTGAACAGGATAGTCTTTTATAAATCACCCTAGGTTTTCTTATATTGATACTATAATGAAAACATATTAAGAAAGCGTGTTTTATTCAATACAGAACATTGTCAGGTGTTAAGCTGGCCTGAGGGGTAAAATGTTATTTTTCTTTTATTGTAATTAGTCATTTGACAGAAAAATGTTTCTCAGCTGCTCAGTGTGGCAGAGACTGGACTGACCCTGTGGATAGTGGGGTGCAGAGTAGATAAGAGGTGAGATCTCAGAGTCCTACACATGAGCAGAGAAACAAGTTGTATTAAGAGCCATAGAAAAGTGCTGAGGACTGAGAACCGGGTGAAGAGCTGGAAAACAGCCGCTCAGTAGCACCTAGACAACGTAAGCAGTTTAGCCACAGGGAGGAAGGAAGAAAGGGAGGCCCCCAGGAAGAGAAGGTGCAAGGGCCCAACCTGAGCTGGCGTTGGGGGAGGGGAGTCTGCCTTCCTCCCCAACTAGGAGAAAGAATTCAGTGGTTAAAATGAAGACAACCAAAGAGGATGTGATGAAAAGTGAGCCGTGAGAAACAGGGTGGGTGCGGAAGTTTGTAAAATCCTCTACGCATACTCAAGCTTACCCCAAAGTAGCTTGGAATTTATCAGAGGAATTGGGGGGGCCAGGGCTGTGAGAATTGAACTCTATGAAAAGAGTGGCATCTTACATGGAACCTTCTGGAAGCCTCATTAACTAATTTTAGCTTCCTTAACTGTGAGAGGTTGAAATGTCATGGGTCCGGACACTAATTACAATTTACTTTGGGCTCTCTTTAGCCCCGTATGTAGCCATTCCTTTGCCCATGTCTGACATAACATGTTTGTGACCAACAGGTGAAACCTTTTGGAATATATTAACTTAATAAATCTCTGGTTTCCATCCACCAAAAAGCTATGGGTATCAATCAGTTATCTGAGGCCCAGCAGTGATTTTTCTCCACTTTGCTATAAGCCACCTCTCTGATGTTTCCACGACTGTATTAAAAACATCTTAATTATGTCTTTCTTTGTTCTGTCACTCTAAAAACCTCATGAAACTGTTGCTACATTGGAACACAAATTTGGTGGTAAGTGATCTGTGTTCCTGGGACATAGTTACTCATATTTGGCTCCAAAATGAACTCTCTTTTATCCTTCCTGAGGTGAGAGTTGTATTTTTCGAATTGACATCTGCCTTCTTGAGAATGGGTGCAGCAGAATCCAGAGTGGATACGGTGTGTTCCGGAATTCGCAGGTAGGAAGCAGTGAAGGACCAGCCTTCCCATGGGACCAGCCCTAGGTTTTCTGTTGCTGCGATGAAACACCATGACCAAAAAGCAACTTGGGGAGGAGAGGGTTTATTGGCTTACACTTCCACATTTCTGTTCCATCTCTGAAGGAAGTAGGACAAGAACTCAAACAGGGCAAGCACTTGGAGGCAGGAGCTGATGCGGAGGTCATGGAAGAGAACTGTTTATTGGCTTGTTCTTTATAGCTTGCCCAGGCCACCTTCTTATAAAACCCAAGACCACCAGGCCACAGATGGCACCACCCACCATAGGTTGGGTCCTCCCCCACCATTGATCACTAAATGAGAAAATGCCTTACAACTGCATCTCCTGGAAGCATTTTCTCAACTGAGGCTCCTTCCTCTTGATGACTGTAGCTTGTGTTGAGTTGACACACAAAACCAGCCTGTATATGACCTGGGACATGCAGGATGGCCACAGGACCAGTTAATATGGAGCATATTCAAGCTCATCATACTAAGGGAAGGTGACTGAGAAGTCGCCTTCACAGCAGTCAAGCAAGACTGGTTCTTCTTTCAGATGCATTGTTGCTGGTTTTCCCCCCCGTACATTTTAGAAGATACTTAACAGTTTTCCCATGACCTCTTTTCACCAGGTTGTTGGAGTCATGTGGGGGGAAATGTGCTGCAAGACCATCTCGGACAGAGACATCAGGCAACGGCTTAATACAAGTAGATAGATAGATAGTTTTCAGCAGTTAAGGGTAGTTAAGTTACAAATGAAAGATTCTACCAAAGTGTTCCTAAGCATGACTTAAAGCAACCTTGGAAATGTCATGAAGCGGAGCTCAGACTGGTGGCCTCCCAAGAAGACTACCCAACAGCCTGACCTTGGGCAACTGTGAAGAAGTAGTTGAAGCAAAGACCAGAAGCATCTGTGTGTGTGTGTGTGTGTGTGTGTGTGTGTGTGTGTGTGTGTGTGTGTGTGTGTGTTTTACCGGGGTGGGGGGGCGTCTCATGGAGGCCATGTGGGGTAGCCAAGGATCACCTTGAATCTGTGATCTTCTTTCCCCCACTTCACTTTTGCTATGGTTACGGTGAGTGTCACCATGCCCCGTTTATGTGATGATGAGGATTAATCCCAGGCTTCATGCCTGCTTAACAAGCACTCTGCCAACTGGACTGCATCAAACCCAAGGATCAGAAACTTCCAGTTCTGATCTGGTTTGTGATGGGTGACGTAGGCCACCAGGAAGATGTGGCAATATAGCGCCCACACCCAACAGACGGTAGTAACTAACTGTTGCTATGTGGGAATGTAGACCTGATATTGCCAGAGCCTTCCTCCCAAGAGAAATCTGAAATCTGTGTTTTTTTTTTTTGTTAAGTGCTATTGTTTGAATATATCCTCCAAAGCAGATATGTTGGAAATTAATCCCAATGTAGTGATGTGGAGAGGCAGAAGCATTGAGAAGAAATTATGTTTTGAGGGCTCTGACCTCCGGAATGATTAATACTATTGTCTTAGAGTGGGTTTCTGTATTCTTAAAAAGATTTATCTCTTCATTCATTTTTATTTATTTTAAGTGTATGTGTCTGAATGCATGTGTACTAAGGGACCCACAGAGGCCAGAGGAGGTTGTCAGAGTCCCTGGAACTGGAGTTACAGGCAGTTGTGAGCCACCTAATATGGGTGCTGGGAACTGGACTCTGGTCCTCTGCAATCTTTCAGCCATCTCTCCAGCCCCTTTTTATTTATTTTAGTACAATGTATTTCATTTATTCTTTGAGAGTTCCATACATTTAAACAATTTTATCTTGATCTTATCTACCCCAAGTTCCTCATACTTCTCCTCCTTGATTTCCTTTTATATTTATTTAATCTTTGTAACTCCCTTAGTTCAACTAATGTTGCCTGCTACAATGCTGACTTGTCCTGTCGGCTTGATACTGTGCATGTAACCCTAGTGCCAATGAGTTCATGTCATGTCCAGAAGACAGTATTTCCCAACACCCTTCCCCATCTTCCAGGTCTTATATCTGTTCTTCCCCTCATTCAAAATGTTCCCTAAGCCTTAGGGGGGAAGAGAGTAGCTATAGCTATCCATATAGGGTGAGCACTAAGCAGTCACTTATTCTCAATACTTAACCCATTAGGAGTCTCTGCATTAACCAGCTAGCCCCTCCTCTTGTGCTGTACTTACTAAACAGACTAAGTGAGGTTCGGGGTTATGACCATAGCGTTAGGGAAGGAGGGAGGGAGGGAGGGAGGGAGGGAGAGAGGGAGGGCTTCAAAGACACGAGGAAGCCTCTAATGTTGTTTCACATAGTCAAAAGTCCTGTGCCTGTAAAGGCAGTAATGGTTGAAAACACTTGGAAACTTCCAGTGCTTATTAGACGCGTTATTTATGCTTGTTCTTCATACTCTTGTCTACTCAAACATTTTGCTTGCTTAAGATCTCTTTTACTTCCTGTTTGCTGCTCACAAAGTTGGTCAGCCTCAGTGCGGCTGTGTCGGCCCAGCCTCTCTCAGCTTCACTGAGAACTTCAGATACACTTCCTGCCAAACCATTTCTGACCACCCTGTTTACATATGCTCCACCTCTGCCCACGCTTGTCCAAATATAGAGGCAGAGGATATCAGTCAAAAGACCTTGTAGAGATGACCTGCTAGAAACGAAAGGAAAACAAAGGTGGTCTAGAGGGGGTTACTTGATAACTGTGTCTGTGGCTCACTTGAGACACCCCAATTTCCTGTTAGCTCGGATCAGCCAAAGGCTTAGCTCTTAGCAATTTACAAGTCTGGTTGCCCACATTTCAAGGATCTGTGGTTCTTGTGCCCTCTCCTAAGTCCCCTCTGACTTAAGTAAGCTACAGCTAGTTCCCACAATTTGCATCAACTTAAGAATTGAACGTGATATGGAAGTCCAATGGAAAGATTTGACTAAATTTCACTGACTAAAAGTAGTTTTAAAGGTTAGAAGAAAAAATGTGTTTATGTACATGTTCCTGTGTGTGTGTGTGTGTGTGTGTGTGAGAGAGAGAGAGAGAGAGAGAGAGAGAGAGAGAGAGAGAAAGACCAGAAGTTGACACTGAATGTCTTCTCCTATTACTCTCATTTTTTGAAACAGTCTCTCACTGAGCCTAGCTCATTAAAAGCAGTGATGAAGAACTCAAGCAGGACAGGAACCTGTAGGCAGGTGCTGATTCAGAGGCCATGGAGGGGAGCTGCTTTCTTATACAAGCCAGGACCACCAGCCCAGGGATGGCACCATCCATAATGGGCTGGGCCCTCCCCCAGACATCACCAATTAAGAAACTGTCCTACAGAATTGTCTACAGCCAGATCTTATGAAGGCACTTTCTTAAGTGAGGATCGCCTGACCCCACCCCCATGACTCCAGCTTGTGTCAAGTTGACATAAAACTAGCCAGTACAGTTAGTTTACCATCGCTGATGGCTGAAGATGTCTTTCCTCGTATCTATCTCCAGGTAGGAAATAAAGGGTCTAAAGCAAACTGACTTTTATCCCAAGTGACTCAGCTTGCTTTGTAGAATTTTTTTTCCTAGTTCTACCCAAGTGACTTTATGTGCATCTCTTTGGCATATAGTTTACTTGCCACACCCTGCTGAAGGGTGCTTTGTACATTGGTCCAGGTCAGAGGCTATCACTGAGGGAAGCCAGGGTAGTAACTCAAGACCATCCTCAGCTGCAGGATTTCAAGATACATAACTTTGGGTGCATGAATCCCTGTCTGAAAAGAAAAAATGAAAAACAAACCTACTGACAAAGACAATATATTTTGAGTTTGGGGAATTATTTTAAAAATAAAATCAGAAAATTTGGAAGTCTAACCTGTGTCCCAGGTACCACTGTGACCAGGTAACTCCTAGAGGTTCTCTTGAGTCCAAAGGAAGCAAAGCTAGGTAGGTCTTGAGGGACAATTTTAGCAGTTTTTTCCATTCTTCCACAGGGATGAGACACTTTGATTAATATATAACCTTTTGTGGTGCTTAGATTTCGTTCAGATACCAACAAACCCAGAAGAAATACTAGTTGCCTTAGTTAGCTTTAAGTATCAACACAGTCTAAAGTTGATAGGCAGTGGTGGCTTGCGCCGCCTTTAATCCCAGCACTCGGGAGACAGAGGAAGATGGATCTCTGTGAGTTCAAGGCCAGCCTGTTCTACAGAGTGAGTTGTTGGACAGCGGGGGCTACACAGAGAAGCCCTGTATTGAAAAACAAAATCAAAAGAACAAACAAAACACTGCCTAAAGTCATATGAGAAAAAAGCCTTAATTGAAAAATTACAAAGATCAGATTATCCTATAGGGAGTTTATCTTGGTTGTTATTTAATGTAGGGAGGCCAAGTTCACTGTTGGTGGTACACATGCATGGACTGTGTAAGACATTAGCTAAGCCTAAGCCTGTGCAAGCCAGCAAGCAGTGCTCCTCAGTGGTTCCTGCTGTAATAGCTTGATGCAGGTGATATTGCACGGAATAGGAAACATGCCTTTGGGTACATGCCTTGATTTCCTACCCTGAAACTGGAGTTACAAGTGGTAGTGAGCTGCCCAACTCTGGTTCTGGTAACTGCATTTGAGTCCTCCACAAGAGTAACAAGTACTCTTAACTGCTGAGCCATCTCGCCAGCACCTGGCTATAAATATTAATAAATATTAGCATCAAGAGCAGAAAGTACAGATTTGAAAGGAAAAACACAAACAATAAGTTGCAATGACTTTCTTTAGTTGCAGGTAAATTGAATATCATGTAAAAATATGGCAGTCTTGGGGAGGCAAAAATGCTCTAGAATACTTTCATCATTTTTTTTTAAATAAAAGAGGGGCTGGAGAGATGGTTCCCTGGTTGAAAGTACTTCCTGTTCCTGCAGAGGACCTGAGTTTAGAGTTCAGTACTGACATTAGGCAACTCATAGCTACCATAATTCCAGCTCCAGGGAATCAGACACCTCCTTCCGGACTCCACAGGCACCTGAATGCATGCACACAGACACACACAATGATAAAACTTTAGGTAAGGAAGTACAGCATTGGTTCTTCGCAATCACACTGTGACCTAATTTTCTGACTAAAGCCTACAGCAGCAGCCCCTTGCAGCAGAGGGGTCCTCCAAAAGTAGGTATCCCAATATTTTCATTCCATGTAACATTTCCTGCCATTCTTACCAAAACTACTTCTAAACTACTGTTAAAGTGGGTCAGATTTTTTTAATTTTAATTTTTATTGCTTCCCTCTTACCCCAACTTCTTAGGTTGTTGTCTTCAAAACACACAAGTAAAGGACTCAGGCAGCCTGGAGATGCAGCTCAGTGCTAAAGACCTTTCTGAGCATGCCCATGGACTGGGGTTTTATCATGCACTATAAATCTGAAAATGTTCAAGCTTGAGGTGAGTATGATCAAATTGTGAGCCATACTTGTATGAAAGTGTCACTGGAACCCTTTGTGTATAAATCCGTGTGCACTACATGCTAAGAATTAAGAACTGGAAAACGTAGTACACTCAGGTTTCTCATCTTGGTTCTAGTCTGACAAGACAGAACTGGATGTGAGTATATTTTTTTCTGGCACATCTATTTTCATCTTTTGGTAATTTGACATCTTGTAGCAGTCCCAACATTTCAGGAACAAGCCTTCTAATTAGAGATGAAGCTAATCATAGTAATATGATGAATTTAATTCTTTTTAGTTTATCCAAAGTAAAGTTTATCTAACTTTCTACTTTTTTTTTTTTGCCTATCCCAGCCTCTGATGCAGTCTACATCATTATAGCATTTACATTCAATTATGTCAGTCAGTTGCTCTAACAGTGTATCAGTTCGGATATTCTAGAATATTCCGCAGAACAATAGTTTTATAGAAAAGCCATCTTATGCAAATGAGGAAACTAGGTACCAAGAGGGTAAGGGACTTAAGATCATGTGACCAATGAGTGCCATTCTTTGACTTAACTCTAATGCTGCAGCTTTAGCAGCAAAAGCCACACAGGAATCCCACCCTGCTTCTGAAAACCACCACACAGGAACTCCTCACCCTGCTTCTAAAAAACATCAGACTCACTGATTATATAAAATCTGGCATAGTGTCTTAGTGGACAAGACACATTTAATAGTAAATAAGAAAGAACAGACTTACAACAGGTTAAGAATCAAAAGACAGGCTGAGGAAGTGACTAAGTATTCAAATATATGAGCCTGTGAGGGGCATTCTTATTCCAGCCACCATAGTTTGTGTGTTTGGAGAAAGGATCTCATGTAACTCAGGCTGGCTTCAGAACTTACTATACAACCCAAGGATGATCTTAAACTTTTTATCCTCCTACCTCTACCTCTTGAGTTCTGGGATTACCAACATGTACCACCATGTCTGGTTTATATGGTGAAGTGGGGAAGGAACTAGGCGATCACCATACCAACTAAGCCAGATCTCCAGTTCCCAGATGCAGCCTTTCTCTTGTTGTTTGCCCTGTTGACTTGATTCTAAACTCACACTGACAACCATGGCTCATCTTCTGCGAGTTGGTCAGCCCTGAGTGTGAAGAGTGCATATCTTTCTCAACACCCCTGTCAAACATGCAGGATCGACTCTTGGTCATCTTGGTTCAGATATCCTTCTTGAGCTCCACATTGTATCTCCACTTGGCCAAGCTGGAGTCTACAAACCATCCCTAGCACTATCCCCACCAAGATGAACCAGGTGGACAGAGAAAGAGGAAGGAGAATCACAAAAGTAAAAATAAATATTTATTATCAAAAGAAAAATCATGAAAGACAAATACAGAAGAAATTGTCTGTTGCTATGATAAGAGCAACTCAAGGAGAAAGCTTAATTTTGGCTCACAGTTCAGTACAGTCCATCACGGTGGGGAAGCCAAAACATAGTGGAAGCCTGTCACCTGTTATCTTTAATCAGGAACAAGGAACAGTGATGCTCCTATTCAGTTGGCTATAGTTGGGGACCCCCACCCCCAAGTAGCCCCACTCACAGCTAAATGAGGTTTCCCATATTCAATAATATAATCAAAATAATCCCTCAAAGGCATGCCCAGAGGCAAAAATAACCCCTCACAATTTTGACTGGAAATTTGTCTCCTAAGCAATTCCATGTTCTATCAGGTTGGTTACTCTTCAACCATTATAAAAGTCCATTAAAAGGCTCATTTTAAAGGGCTGGAGAAATGTCTCAGTGACTGACAGCATACACTCCTCTTGTAGGGAACCTAAGTTTGGTTCCTAGAACCCACATTGGAAGCTCACAACTGCCTCTGACTCTAGTCCCAGCAGATCTCATGTTCTCCTCTGGATTCGGAGGACATCTGCATTCACACATTCCCAAACACATAATCGAGAATGGAAAACTAAATCTTTAATTAAAATTCCATTTCAGTTTACATGCTACAGTTAAACAGTACAAATTAAGTGTTGATTTCTTGCTTAGTGGTCGGGGCTTCATAATATTTTCATTAGAAAAAGCATCAAATAAAAAAAAGGTTAACTTTGAGGAAAAATAAAAGATGTACTCTGTGTATGTTTTCTATGGCTGATCCCTAAATGAATGCCAAAGCAAATGAAAAATAAAAACATTGGACATCTTCCAAACATTACATTAATCTAAATGTTTAAAGAGTCCATCAATCCTACACCAAGGAAAGCAACAATTATATTTATGTAGTGACATTTGTGTATTTGGGTTCCGTCAACTCTGCTAATGACCTTGTGCTAGCTAGACTCACCAGTATCTATTGGAAACTTTCTAAGTATTCAGTTAAAGAGGAACCACTTCTTGCACAGTCAGTGCCTGCTCTTAGTATAACAAGCACTCCACTCATTCATTTATTTATATCCTATGCCAGCTATGAATCAGGAATAAGGGTGGGTACCATGATTAAGGACATGAGTAATGTGCAGCCCCACCCCAAAGGAGTCAAAGTTTAGTAGAAACAGACCCGTAGAGACAGACAGAAATGCATAGTGAGAGGGGATTTACATAGGGCTAATAAGTAGGGGACAGTCAGATAAGAGATGGGGGAACATCAAAGAAGTTATAGGGCATGCTTTCCAGGGTGGATAGGAAGAAGAAGGGTAATTCCAGAACAGCGTGGAATGAGGCAGAAGCCTGAAGATGAGTTACAAGTCTGACTGATGTAGGGTGTATACCAGGGAAGAGTCATATGAAAGACCTTGTGTGCTAAGTTTGAATTTCACGCTGTGACTCCAAAGCCCAACTTCTCCAAATAGCCTAGACTGCCAATACAGAGCCATCTGGAGAAACTGTTAACACAGATTGGCCAGGCCCACTTCTGGAAATTCTGCTTCAGAAAGAGTGAATGTTTAAAGAAAATTCATTCCCTATGGAGACTTACACAGATTAAGCCTGTCAGCATCCAGTCGTGGATCAGGGTGGGGCTCTAGGGTCCGCCCCTCCCTGAAGAGCTATAGGCAGGCTGATGGCTGTTGGGGTAGGGAAAGACATTTTCTCCAGTGGTGTAGCTACTGGCAAAGTGATCACTCTCTTGTGAAACCCCCTGACACACATTCCTGTAAATAGCTCTTGTATGGTACTACCATCAGAGCTGAACGTAAGACAAGTTGTGTCTGCTTACAAAGGATCAGCACAGGAGGACATAGTGTTCGTTGTTGTTCCCCTTAGAGAAGGGAACATCATGATTGTTGTTCCTTTGGGTGGCCACTGGACCCTCATCTGAGATTCCAGACACTCCTTCCACCATCTGTATGAAAATTTGCCCTAATTGCATATAGCTTTGGAGTCTTAGGAGGAGCAGAGACACATAGGCTTAGGAAGACAAAGAAAGGAAGGCTCCATCTGTGAGCTATGGGGAAGCCATCATCCATACCAGGTGAAGACTCTCTAGTTTGACTGCTTTGGGGTCGCCCACAGTCCTGTCGGTAGCCTCCCGGTTCTCAATGCTATGTAAGCAAGCCCAATAAGTTCATTGGCTCTCCAGGGTGAAATTTGGTGGGCTCAAGCTTTAGTTTTCATTTGGTACCTTATGAGGAAGGGACAAACATTGCTTAGTCCTGTGCCTAGGACTAGAATTCTCATACAGTAAATTAGCTAAATGAAGCTCACACACAAAGATATGAGAGTAGAGAGGAGCTCAATGGGAAGAGGAAGGACATCAGCTTGAGTAGGAGGGGACAAGAAAGGGAAATGAGGGTTGGTGTGATTAAAACCCACCATATAAATGTATAAAATATCATAATGAAACCCATCCTTATACATAATTAGTGTATGCTAATGTCAAACGTTCCCTATTGATTCTTAGGTACATCCAAGTTTGAGGTGTACACTGTGTGCAGGCAATGAAGATCCACAGAAGTTTCTGGAAATGTGGATATACTATTTTAAAGCAGAGCGCTTTGCTAACGGAAAGTTGCACAGGAACATGTCAAAACAGGAGACAGAGAGACCCAGTTGGAGAGTGTTCTCATGGAATATACCAGAAATGGTGAACATCAGCACCACAGCAGAGACATTGGGGAGAAGGGGAGGTGAGTGTTTTGAGAAAAGTGTAATCTATATGGCTAGGTGACTTCTTTGAGCTGGGAGTGAGCAGAAAGCAGGAGAGATGTAGCTGAAAGGAGTTGGGCCTGGAGTTTGCTCTGAGTTAGAGCCTGAGGTTTGGGTTTGCCAAGGCCCAGATGCTCAGATCTGAGGATCGGGAAGCTGGAGACTGTTGTCCTCCACACCTGGGACACTCTGCTTTGAGCTACATCTGGTGCACTGCTGCTGGTCACTTCCCACAGCCCCACAGCCAGGTTGTCTCACCCTTGGAAGTGAGGAACTCTGGCTCACTCTTCTTTGTGTTTTCAGAGCCTAGGCCTGCACATACTTGGTGTGCACTAACAGTGTCTAGTGTCTAGGTGACTGAATTGTATTAATTAACTAGATAATTATAGCCACAACAACCTCATTAGATCTCAGTAGGCTTTGACCTCATTTTTGATGATAATTATATAAATTTGTATTTTCATAATTCTATGAGCTTTTATTATTTCCATTTCTGAAGGAGCAAATATGAAGCAAAATATAGTTCTTTCTCCCAAACATTGATTATTGCAGATGTCTGTGTAATTAGTGTGGTAAGTGCTGCCTGTAGGTTCTAATTTAGGTCTCACCAGAAAGTGAGACCTACACTACACACATGCACACACACATAACATTCATGTGTGCTTTCACACACACACACAGACACAAGCACATACACACATATATCACACAGACACATTTGTGTGCACACACACATACACACACACCACAGACACATGCACACACGTATGTATGTGCATATTGCTTTAAAATTATTTTTAAAACTTTCAATTGAACTAAGACAAGGGGTTTTCCATTTAGCTATGCATATAACATTCTATGATCTAGAGAAATTACTATTTTTAGCACAGCTATTTTTTGTTTTGTTCATCTATTGTGGGACAGTGAGGGGTGTCTGCATGCCACAGCTCATTTGTGATGCTCAAGGACAAAGAACACAGGGAAACTAAAATTGCTGAAGTCCTTTTCCCCTCCCATCAGACTGGTCCTGGGGATTGAACTAAGGCTTAGTGGCAAGCACCTTAACCAGCAGAGCCATCTCCCCTGCCTAGAGAGATTATCTTTAGAGTGTTATATAACTTCAGAAGTATAGCTACCTTTTTTCTCACACAGTGTTACATAGAGTAAATAAAGAACTCCAAAGTAGTCCCTACCAGGAACAATGAGCAAGGAAGACAACACATAAGGCACATTTGTAAACTAATCTCCGTGCCTACATTTTCCTTCTGTGCGTAGATTTGATGATTGCTACTTTGTTTATTCCTTATTATCTTTGCCTTCCTTGGAGATAAGTGCATTTGGAGTACTAGACAGGGCCAGCCTATTTATATAGAGAGGGAACCAACAGATAATTCAAATAACTATAACTCCTAACATAATTTCCCCCCTTGAGAAAGAAAAGACAAATAAGCAGGTAACAGCAGCCATTTCAAAATTCAGTTCCCAAAGAGATGTGGGGGTGAACTGTGCACAACAAATTATCAGACCTTCAGAGATGACTCCGTGGGAAAAGGACCTGAGTTTGGGACCCCAGCACCCAGGGTGGTAAGACTGTCATTCCAGCACTGGAGGCAAAAAAAGGAAAATCTCTGGGGCTCACTGGGCAGCCAGTTTAGCTAAGTCAGAGAGCTCCAGGTTCAGTGAAAGAGCCTGCCTCAAAAGAGACGTTGGAGAGTGATTGAGGATGATACCTGACATTGATCTCCGGCCTCCAGACTTCCATGCTTGGGTGTACACACCGGTATGTGCACACACATGATAGAAAGAAAAACAAAATGGAAAATATATTGGCAACAGCTAAGACAAAGGTCCATTGGGGGTTCTCATGTGAAGGCGGGGTTTAAATGAATCCACCAGACCCAAGATAAATGATAATTAGGTATTTATTAGGGGCGCTGTTTCTGCTCCAGAAGATGCTGTCTCTGCCCTTCTGATGCTCTCACCGCAACCCAAGAGAAGGAGCCCACTCCTCGACCTTATAAGGGGTCACATCTGAACACCTGAAGGCACGCCCATGGGGTGAGGGCACCATTGCAAGTTCACTGGCCAAGCATGATTCCACTACCCTCATGTCCACATTTTAAGCTGGTCACTTGGAATGAATTTCTACCTTTGGGTGATGAACTCTTGCTTACTCTCCTGCACTTGTTGATTTTTTTCTTATTCCTCTATATCTTGATATGGGCTAATTTTGAAATTCCATGACTTTTTTTTCTTCTGATCATCAGGAGATTGTTTTAACTTCTCTACTTATAATATGTGATGTATTTACTGCCTATATACAGACCCATGGCTACTTAGGACTCTCTGTTATTCATTTTTCTTTTCCAGACTTAATTACTTCATATATGAGTGCTTTTCTTGCATGTATATCTGCGAACCATGTATGTGCATCTTGCCAGTGAAGGCAAGAAGACAGTGATACCTCCCATGGAACTGGAGTTACAGACAATTGTCAGCCACCATGTTGGTGCTGGGGATCGAGCCTGGGTCCCTTTGTAAGAGCATCAAGTGCTGCCAGGCAGTGGAGCACACCTTTAATCCCAGGAGGCAGAGGCAGGTGGATCTCTGTCAATTCAAGGCCAACCTGGTCTACTGAGCGAGTTCCAGAACAGGTTCCAAAGTTCCAAAGAAAACCTGTCTCAAACCAAAAGAAAAAAGAAAAAAGAGTATCAAGTGCTCTCAATCACTGAATCATCTCTCTGGCCCCTCCCCCTTCTCTGTGGCACCTTGACTTGGCCTTGAACTTTCATGTAGTCATGGATAGTCGTGAGCTCCTGAACCTCCTCCCTTTACATGTTAGTTATTTGTCCCATTGCTGTGACAACATACCTAGCAAAAGTAACTTATGGAAAGAAGGGCTTATTTTTGCTCATTTTAGAATGGTACAGTCTATGTGGCAGGAAAGGCAGAGGAGATGTGGTGGTCAGAGTATGAGGAAGCTGATCAAATGGCATCCAGTCAAGAAGCAGAGAGAAATGAATGCTAGTTCTCAGCCAGCTTTCTCCTTTGTGTTCAGCCCAGGACCCCAGATGACGGACAGTACCATCCACATTTAGAATGGATCTTCCCACTTCAATGAACACAGCCTAGAGACTCCCTTCCATATACAAAGTTGGTCATCTAGGGGATTCTAGAGCCTGTCAAGTTCTCAGTCAATTACACTCCACATCCTGAGTGCTGGGATTACATGTGCACCTCCCTGCTGCACACAAGGTGCTGCAGATCAAGTCCTGGGATTACATGTGTACCACCGTGCTGTACGAGGTGCTAGGGATCAAGTCCAAGGCTTTGAGCACCAGGAAAGCACTCTACCAACCAGCTGCACCCCAACATTTTCACTCTTTATGTGCATCCAACATGTTTGCCCAGCTCTTGGTTTTGGTTTCTATTAAATGTTTTGGCTTTTTCCTACCCAGAACCAATTGTACACTATCATTAATGAAAAAATCAGATGGCTGCTTGCTTTCATGGCCCTGCATACCTTCCCTGCTCTTGTTATTATCTGTAGACAGGCAGCTGTTTCCTGCCAACTGTCTCTTCAGCTCATTTGCCCATGCTCAAGAGGATTTGTGACAAAGATGGATAAAAGTTAAAGGAAGGCTGGACAACTAGTTCAGTGGTTAAGGATACTCTTACAGAGGACCCAAGTTTCCCCAGCACTCATATCAGGTGGTTCAAAACTAACTGAAACACTAGCTTCAGGGATCCAACACTCCCTTCTGCCCACCTCAAGCACCTGCACTCATGGTCACACTCCCAAGTACCTGCACTTGGGTCACACCCCCCCAGACATGAATATACTCATAACTTTAAAAGAATAAAATAAATCTGAAAGAGAAGCATTAAGAGAGAAGTTAGTATGAGTTCCCCATCCCCACTCACAACCCCCATGTTCCTCCCTGGACTCCATCCCCTGTTCTAGTTCAGGCAGCTCCTCTAATAGGTGCTTTCCCTCTTAGTTGCTGGGCCTCTTCTAGTCACAGGGGATTGCTTCAAAGCTCAGCTAACTGGGCTCACCATTGGTCTATCTAGACAGAGAGCTGGGTGGCAGAGACGTTCTGCTGTTGCTTTCATCTGAGCACTGCCTTGCCTCAGTCTGACTTCCCTGCCTTGTAAGATCTTTATAGCTGTATGCTGTGGTTCAGGGAGATCTACCTAGGGAGGTTTCTGATTTGACTGTGTACCGCACCGGTGGTCAGGGCCTGGGGCAGGTGTTCCCAGGTTCTTGGTCTCTTATGCAAACAATTGAAAATAAGGACTCACAAATATTTGCAAAAGTAGCAAGATAACTTTATTTGGAGTGAACAGATAGGACAGGCCAGGGAGTACTAAAAGGCCCCAATTACTTCCTTTTATGGAGGTCAGCAGAAGGAGGAACTGCATACTTAGGGGTAAAGTTTGGGTGGTTCTCTATTTTGGTTGATAGATTAGATCATGCCTACATTTTCCTATTGATTATCCTTTCCCATAATCCTTTTTGATTTTAATCATATGCACACTCAATTATACCTAGGCATAAGATGGCAAATAAGTAGTTCTCCCTAGAAGGATCTCACAGCTTTACCTTGCTACATGTACCTAAAACCAGTTCAGGCTGGGTCAGCTGTTGTATTCTTCCTGTTGCATGTGTTGCTAATACTCTTGAATAGAAACTGTCTCAATTCAATTTTTGCTAAGAGTAGAATCAACTATCTTATTGTTGAGAGATGGGAGTCTGTAAAGCTTGATTTAGGAGCTTGCCTGCCTCAACAAGACCCCATCTCACACACTGGGGTAATGCCTAGCAAGATGTAGGCAAAGGACAAAATAGTTACTCCAACGCAGAAGGGCTCATGTAGGTACTGCAAGATGCAGTCACTAAGGAACATGCTATTGAAATGAGTACAAAGGGACGCTTATATTTCCCCTGAGCCTCGTTCATTTAATTCTTACCTTCATTCTATGTTAATCTCCCTTGAGTAGGGGAGCCATAGGGGATGGAGGCACATGTACAAAGGGAATGATGCCCACACTGAGCCAAAAATAACCTAAGTAGCTTCGCCTGCATAGAGAAAAGAAAGGCCAATCATCCCAAGGGTTGGTACCAAAACACATTCAACACCACAGGCCCTCTGAGACCCCTGCTGCTCTCGATAGGAAACTTGCTCTCTCTGCCACAACAGGACCTTCCCTGACACAAAAGCATTTAATGAGGCAAATACTCCAGTAGTTCACACAAAGTGAAGCTTATTGTAAGGAGCAGTCCAGGATGGTGAGCAGCAGCCTAAATGACCTATAAGCCATCATCCTTGGAGACAGGCTTTGAAAAAAAAAGTCAGAACAGATACTGGAATGCAGCTAAACTGGGAAAGTGGATTTGATCCCTAGCACCAAATAACCAGGCATGGCAGTGCATGCCTGTAATCCCAGAACAATAGGAACAGAAGCTCAAGGTCACCCTCTGCTGTGGAACGAGTTGGAAGTCAACCTGAGCTGCACAAGATCCTGTGTTAATAAAATTAATTAATCAAATAAATCCCAAAACAACCTAGAGACCAGAGAGATGTCGTATCAAGTAAAGGCACTTGCTGTGTAACCCTGGTGACCTGAGATCAAACCTGGAACCCACATGGGGTGGAAGGAGAGAACAGACTCCACAGAATTGTCGTCTGACCTTCACATAATGTGGCACGGCACATGCGTGGTGTGTGTGTGTGTGTATGTGTGTGTGTGTGTGTGTGTGTGTGTGTGTGTAATATTATAATAATTAAAAAGAGAAACAAGCTTCGGTGCTGTGTGGGAGGTTGAGCCTGTGTTTTCATGGCCTTGGGCAGAACTGGGTTTATCATATTTGGTTTCTCAGCAAGTCCTTTTCTGTCTTTTTTTTCCCCCGTTTTTTTTTAAACATAATTCTTTATTGATTCTTTGGGGATTTCACATCATTCACCCCAATCGCAATCCCACTCACCTCCCAGTTGCTCCATATCTGCCCCTCATCCCTGCAGCATGCCACTCCTAAAAATTAATTAAAAGCAAAACAAAACAAACCAGCCACCTCCATCATCCATCTTTCCAACGCCTCTTCATTCATCATTCTAGTGGCACTGGGGAGCTTTGATGTGTCACACAGTACACCCTTTTGTCCAAGCAGTCCCATGTGAAAAATGTTCATTTGCAATGAGTCATTGGTCTGCTTCAAGGCCCCTGGCACACCATCGTCACTTGGACTCTCACTGAAACTCCTCTGGGGTATCCTGTGATTGCCCTGAGTCATGGAGATCCTGCAGCTATGTTTCCACAGGACCAGTCCTTTTGATGGGGTTGATGTCAAGGTGGGCTAACCCAAGACCCAGGATGTGGGTCTGGGTGGTAGCTGCCCTCTCAGTTGAGGGGCAGAGCCAGCCCTCCTAGGTCCATGCCACCCGGCCCATGGTAAGGGGTGGGGCCATCTCTCCTGATGGGGGCAGCTCTCCCATTAGGGAGTGGAGCCGGCTCTCCTGCTGCAGTATCCATTGAGAAGCAGGGCCAGCTATCCCAGAGCCAGTGAGGGGAGGGACTGGCTCAGCCCAGCCCTCAGATTTCAACACACATCAGTTCCCTTTACCCACTGTGGTAACATGGGCTATGGACATCATCACAGACCCCAAGCACAGCAGGAACACGGACCTAGGCATGTCCTTGGCAGCTGCTTGGGCTGGACATCATCATGGTCCCAGCAGCAGCACAGGCCATCCAGATCAGTGTGGCCCTGGCAGTAGCAAGGCCCTCAGACACCAACATGGCTCCAGATTGCAGGCATCCATGTGGCCTTTGGTGGTACCATGGGCCACGGACATCAACACAGAACCTGGCTGTGGTAGGACCCAGACATGATCCTCAGTAGCAGCATGGGCTTGGATGTCACCGTGGCTATAAGTGGCAGTGCAGTCAACTCAGATTGGTGTGGCCACCATGGGAAAGTGGCCCTCAGACACCAACATGGCTCCAAATGGTGGCCCAGAAGCCAGGCATCTCATGGCCTTTGATGGTATCGGGATCACAGACATGGCTTTCAGCAGCCTGGAGGACGCCATGGGCCAGGTGACAGTGCAGGCCACTCAGATGAGTATGGCCCTGCCTTTTCTGGTTTCTTAGAAACCGACAGAGCTAGATGCAACAGATAAAAGTGAGGGGTTTTTATTTGTGTTTGTTTTGGCTTGCTTTTCTGAGACAGTCTTGCTATGTGACCCAGCTAGCCTTGAAGTCACCATGCCCATCTAGAGTACCGAGATGATAGGTGTGTGCCACCACACATGCTACTTCCTATTCCTTTGACTTTAGGGCTGTTGTTTGGTTGACTTTTGCTGTGAATTTAATCAAACCCAGGGCCTTACACCTCCTAAGTATGAACTCTATCACTGAGTCACAATGCTCAGCCCTTAGCTGTATTCTTTGACCAGTAGCACACCATGATATTGCTGTTATTATACTTGTTTATTTAGTGTGTGCGTGTGCGCATGTGTAGGTTTGAGGATGACTTGTGAAGCTGATTCTTTTTTTTTT